GTGTGTGTGTGTGTGTGTGTGTGTGTGTGTGTGTGTGTGTGTGTGATGAATGGAATTCCGCATCGGTGTGCAATTGTAAAACAAGGCTGTGTGTTGAAAAAAAAATCTGAAACTGCATTTAGGAGTGGCTCAATACTGGCCGGCCATATTCGGGCCGGAGTTGGAAATACATTTCTGGCCCAAATACTTCACGCCACAACCGGCCCTCATCTGGTTTGCCAGAGTCAAGCCAGTGCCTCCTTTGCCACGCCTGGGCCGTGTTCGGCCCACATGCGTTATGCCATTGCCGACACCAGGCCAGCTGTGCCGGCTTCATGCCGAAGCCGGGCCAGATGCCTTTGCTGACTGGGGAGAGTCGCCCGCGACCCTCGCGAGGGTAAGCGACTCAGATAACGGATGGACGGATGAGTTCATTAGATGCAATTTTTTTTTAATAGAAAAATTCGATTTGGGGACCTCCTGCGCTAAAAACATGACACGACGCGAGCGTGATGTCACTTCCTGAGACGGGAACGTGAAGTTGAAGGCTCCCACAAAAAGCAGAGTTTCCCTTTCTTCGGTCTTCCAAAATGTTATTTGTAGAGACCCTTCAGTGTGATCGCAAGTGTACTCCTGTATTTTAAGAGTCCCGAACTGTTACTTTTGTTGCTGCAGACACAAAATACATCCACGACGGATCTCCGCGGCTAAAAATGGTGTGCGATATTTTTCTATTTAAGTCGCTAATTGGTGGTGACGCTTAGTTTCTTTTTCTCAAAATCCTAACAATTACCTTCAGGTGGAAGTAGATATACGCCATAAATGATGTAAATAATGTTTTGTGACCTTGATGAGTTGCTGTAGTCTGATTACTTGACTGGAAAAAAGTAGCGAGCGAGCGAGAGAGAGAGAAGCGAGAAAATATTGAGCGAGGGAGAGAGAAAGAGACATCGGATCGAGCGGGATGGATAGAGGGAGATAGAAAGAGCGATGGGATTTAGGGGAGATACAAAGATGCGATCGAGGGAGAGAAAATAGAGAGATTATAGACAGGAAGTAATTTAGCAGAGAGAGGTTCGGGGTGAGCAAGGATGTTGAGTTGAGGGAGAGAGAGAGAGAGAGAGAGAGAGAGAGAGAGAGAGAGAGAGAGAGAGAGAGAAAGAGATGAGGAAGGTAGATGAAGAGGAGTGTGAGCATCACTGAGTTGCGCTGCAGTGGTGTTCAGCTGCATTCGTTGCGTGTGTGTGCGCGTGTGCGTGAGTGTGTGCGTGTACTGCAGCCTGCTGAT